ACAAGATGAACTATCCTCAGCCAAGTAAAACAGCAGTCCTGAGATTTGCAGCTATAGAATTGAACTATTGCCCATGGAATATATGTCCTCATGGAACTGCTGTATTTCTCAGGATGCATGTAATCAGCTTTAGACCAGAAGCTGATTCTCTTCCCTCTCCCTCCCCCCCCCGCCCCATCCCTTCCTCTTTTAAATACAAGTAGTATTTCCAAAACTGTATGATAGCTCAGCATGATAAATCCTGCTTGTAAACCCTGAGCCTTTTTCCCAAACCGGGCGTGCCAGTGCAGCTTGCACTGTAGTGCAGCTAGACCCCCAAAAAATGAGAGAGGAAGGTAAAATGAATTTAAATTCCAAAGGGGTTTCAGAGCTGGTTTCCTAGTTCCCGAGTCAGCTATGTGTTTGTGAAAATTCAGCCTTTTTGTCCCTTAGAAAAAAAGGGCTAAATCTACATCGGTGGCCCAGTCTAGGTTTGCTATTCTTTGCATTTTCTATTCAAGTGAATGAGAGTGAATGAAGTGGCCTGGGACCCTTTATTTGATCTACTCAATTGCATAAAGTGACAGAATTCTAATATATTTGTTTAATGCTCTTCAATGGGGCTTTCACTTGCTAACTTGCAAATGAAGCCTCGATCTGCAAAGTTTTGTCCTTTTTCTTTCTCCCTTTTTTTTTTTTTTTTCAGCAGGGGGACATATTTCATAACTTGGGCCATGGTGTGAAGTGATCTCGAGAGGAGTTTTAGATTTGAAAAGTGGAAAATAAAGAAACAGATGTGAAGTTATTGTAAATTCCTATCGTGGGCTCTGGGGCTATTGTACACCCACTGCAGGCGGTCCAAAGCTTCTCTTTTTCATGCTATAATTGAAACATATTAATTAGATAATTTGTTGTTAGTTTAAAAGAAACAAATACAGCCTCTCCAAGGCTTCACAGCCTGGATTCCTTTTTTTTTTTTAATCCACCAAGTGACAATTGTATTGAGATTTAAAGATAATCCTGCACAGAAATCTACAAAGATCTAAAGTTCCCGATCTGTGCTAAGGAGCACTTAAAAAAAAAAAAAAAAGATTTTGCTTGTAAAATCCCCTCACAGGGATCGCTGTGAGCTTCTTTTCAGGCTACCTGGCAAGATTGCTCAAGACACGATTGGAGGCCATACTTGAAAACTGTGGAAAGAAAATAAATATTCTTTAGTGTCAGAAGGATCCTGGCTCCTTTCAATAGGGTGACTCGGTCCTATTGGGTTGGAGTCTGCTCTCACAGCGGACAAAAATAAGAAATATACCGCCTAGAATGTATCCAGACCTTATGCATTGAAATGAAGCAAAAATCCGAGTGGCGAAGCACGACTGGGTTTTTGCTGGCTTGCCTTACACTCTGGAGTTGGAATACACTCTCTCTCTCAAAAAAAAAACAAAAAAACAAAAACGCTTTCTGTCTGAAATTCCGTGCCCCTTACATCAAAGTATACGCTTAGCTTAAAATTTATCAGTGGCAAAAATAATTGCAAAGCACCCTTGAGTAAAGTCTCCAAACAAGATTCCAGCTCGGGAACCTGTGGTGTGTGTTTCATTCCTCCCCCCCTCCCCGTTATATTTTGCTGTTTTATTTCAGATCTGAGTTTATTGACTTTGGACTTGAGCCATTAGAGATTTAACAAGACAAAGCAGTAAATTCGAGGGACGCTCTGAATTGCTTATTTGTTGGCATACCTTTGAGATAAGTATCTCAACCTTTACCAATGAAAGAGCAAAAAGAATGCCTTGTGAGATTCCTATTAAAATTTAAATAATCAGCACCCATTATGGTCTCTTTCTGGTAGCTTAATATGAGAGAGTGCTGGATATTGCCAAGAAAACCGCGCATGTGGCAAATTGTGGTAGTGATTGTTTACAGATGTAAAAATTGCATTGAATAACATAAGAAAGAGAAATGATTTTAAAGGGTTTTTTTTTAGATTCCTTCTCTAGTAGGGATTATATGGAAAACAGAATCATTTTTAAAGGTGTAACTACTGTATGGTTTAAAATTACCCTGCAAGTGTAACTAGATGCAGTCCAGTCCCATCTTCTCAGTTGAGTTCAGATTTCATCTCCGATTTTTTTTTTTACACTGTTGGATTTTTTTTAAAGAACTCGTAGGAAAATGTAGGTCATCGCTTGTTTAGGAAAAGTTTGTCGAGTTTTGTGTCCATTGATCTGGTGATAAGTTTTGAATGCTTTCTTTAGCTGATCGTGTTGATATAATCGTGAGTTGGACTTGATGAATGAGTTCAGTTGTCCCCCATCTGACAAGCTTTAGCAGCTTCATGCATTTTAATCAGCCCAATGATTCATGTATTTTCCACCTTTTTTTTTTTTCCTGTGTGTGGGATCCGTTCTTTAAAAAAAAAAAAAAAAAAAAAAAAAGTGTCGCAACTGGATTGATTATATTCTACATTAACCTTAAACTTTTTTCAAGCACCTTACTATATGTATTTAAGGGAGATGGGGTTGTCGCTATCTCTCAAATGTCTACATCTACAGACCCATAGAAATATACCTCTTTAAAATCATTTACAATGTATTCTTGCATCCTGTAGGTTCATTAGAATACAATGTCTGTTTTCTTTTTAATAAGTATTTAAGTATCTCATTGTAATGTAACTAAATTATTTGAACTGTCTCGCCGCTGAAAGGCTAACACACTAGTTTTATTTGATTATCTCATGAATTTGAATCATGGATTCTCAATAATTCTGTAGAATCCTTGCAAAATCCTAAAAATAAATGAAAAGAAACGCATTGGAAACTCTGAAATCCAGATTTCAACGTAGTTTACCTTAATTTTCTTTGTATAAAATAATTATCTGTTGATTTACAGATAAAAGAATAATACTGTATGTTACAGTGTGTAATGTAGTTTTTTTTAAAAAAAGATGTTTAGTTAATATAGATGACAGAACAATAGCTGTCGTAATCAAAATACTTTAAAGAGGTTTAACTCAACGATAAAATAGAATGCAATGTTTTATATTAAGGTTTGGAAATATTTTGATCTACCTCTTGTATTACAAAATTCTAATGCTTCTAGTCTTTAAAGATGTTTTTAAATCTGATTTGCAATTTAATATTTCAAAGGTTCGTTTATTGTTATAGTTATTCGAGAAAAAGTATCTATGCGTGTGTATTGTATGCATACATACATACACACACAGACAAATATATAGTTAGTATATAGGTATATAATGCACACACCTATATAGGAATGAAAAGTGCACGTTTGGATGTGTACACACGCCTTATATATATTACCTATGTTATATATACTAATGTAGTCTATGAACTGTAGCTTGATTTCCATTTGGTAGTCATTTGAGAATGACCATCTTATGTAGAAAACTACTGTATTTTATTAAACAATTATATTTATAGATGATTCTCTTCCTCCTATGACAAATGTATGTAGATAATCTAAAAATTGAAATACAATATTTCCCCCTAAATTAATGTTGTGATTTTCCTGATACAAACTCTTCAAAAAGACGAATAAGAAAGTAAATCTGAATTTACATATTTTAATGAGAAAATAGTATTTGGACGACTAGGTTCATAATTTAACGTAGACACTTTTTTTTTTACTTTTGTCTTAAAACACGCATGCTGGTAACAAGAACATCAATATTTAAAATGCCATGCTCATTCTGTACAAAGAAAAAAATTAAAAAGGAATTTCTTTACAGCTGCGATGAACACTACAACGTTTTGTTTTTGACTTAACTTAAGCGGTTCACAAGAGTTCGGTTTCCAGCAAACTACCTAAAACTAGAAAGGAATATAGCAAACAAAAGTGCATGTTACACATTTAATAATCATTCCTATTCACAGACATTTACAGCGTACCCCAGCACCCTCTCAGTTTGTCTGAAAAGTTCCAACAGAAAACAGGAATACCTCCCATAGTCTGAACCTGTTGTGGTACTTCCCTACACTTCACCAGTGACTTGAGCAGCTTTACACAAGCTACCTTAGGTTGTCTGCTTGGTAGTGGATTTTTTTTTATTTTTCTTTTCTTAAACCATAAATAAATAGCTTTAAAAAAATCGACGTAATTAGAAGGTTAACAGACAAATTAACTTCCCCTCCCCTTCTACCTGAAAATTAAACATCCACATGACAACAGGTACTGCAAAAGAGGACCTCATTTGATTCACAGGACAGATTGAAGTTCAGTATTTACATTGGAACAGCAGTTTTGTAAACAATATACGTTTTCAGTGTGAACTGATGTCTTGCCATTTGCATGGTTTCCTGTCCTTTTGTACTTAATATACAAATCTTGATCCACAGTGGATACAGATTTGTCACTTCCCCAAAACAAACTATGCGGAAGCCAATGGAACTTTTCAGCCATTGGATGGTAACTGGCCATCTCTCAAGTTATGGGGACCGGTTTAATACTTTCATTGTAATGCTGTAATAGGTATGGAGATAGATAGATAGATAGATCTATATGATATAGTTCGTGTCATTTTGAAAAGTAATTCACGAGGGGTTCGGGTAGATCCTGCAATCTTTAAACTCTGTGTAAAAAAATAAATTGGAAACGAAACTTTTAAGTGTTTCCAAAATCCAGCTGATTTGTCACTTGGAAACTGGAAACATGAACTGTTTGCACGAAGCCATCTGCAACCACTTCAGACTCTTTACGGTTTTAAAGACAGGTCCCGTGGAAGAATGTTGCTCTTCCCAGACAAAGGAAGGAAAAGAGGCAGGCTCTGCCGGGGTTGTCTAACTCTCCAGCACTCATTTCAGTGGAGGAAGGTGCCTTAAGTACCTTTGGAAACCTAGTGATGCAAATGGCACTTTATACACACGCTGGGGGGGGGGGGGACTAGACCACTTTTCGAGTGTTTAAAACAAAGTTAAGGAGCACCCCACAAACCGGCACGGGCTCGAGCCATTAAAGAAGGGTACGCCAGAGAGGCAAACCAAAGACCGCTTCCATGAATAGCAAACCTCAAGTGTTCCCGCCGGCAGTTTTCTCTCCTCTCGAGGAGCAAGAAAAGGCCGAGGAAAGTTTGGCGCGAGCCGCGGAGCGTCCAGGCCGGGCTGGCCGTGTCAGTGCACGGCTACCGAGTGCAGGGCCGAGGCGGGGCTGGTCAGGGTCTCGCTGGGCGTCGCGGGGCTGCTTTGGCTGGTGGCTGTTTGGGAAGAGGTCGGGCTGAGCGAGGGGGGGCGAGTTCGAGAGGATGGTGGGGATGGGCGCCGGCAGGGCCGGCAGGGCCGGCACCGCCGCCGGGGTGGGTTTGATGGGCACGGGGATGGCTGGCAAAGTCTGGCCCCCGTGGCACAGGGGCTTGAGGGGCACGCCGTAGGCACTGTAATCGCCGCTGGCCATGGAGATGGGGGTGGCCGTGTCTATCATGCCGGGGCTGTACATGTGGGGCCAGCCGGTGCCAATGGAGCTGCCCACCGTAGTCAACTGGTTGGGGAGCGGGTAGGCGGCCGGCATGGGCTGCATGGCGGAGAAGGCCAGCCCGCCCGGCATCTTGTACTCGCGGGCGATGATGTTCTCGATGGCGAAGGGGTGCTTGAAGCCGGAGGGCTGGGAGACCCCCAGGCTGTAGGTGGACATCTGCGGCAGGTGGGTGCCGCCGGCCGCCAGGGCGCTGAGCCGCAGCTTGGCCTGCTGCTGCAGGTACTGGGCCGCGTCCGCCGGCTTGCTGGGGGCCAGGTGGTCGGACTTGAGCACCTTGAAGCGCTTGCGGCGCCGCAGGAAGCTGCCGTTCTCGAACATGTCGCCGCAGCTCGGGTGCAGCGCCCAGAAGCTGCCCTTGCCCGGCTGGTCGGGCCGGCGCGGGATCTTGATGAAGCAGTCGTTGAAGGAGAGGTTGTGGCGCAGGGAGTTCTGCCAGCGCTGCGTGTTCTCCCGGTAGTAGGGGAACCGGTCCATGATGAACTTGTAGATCTCGCTCAGGGGCAGCATCTTCTCCGGCGAGCTCTGGATGGCCATGGCCGTCAGCGAGATGTAGGAGTAGGGCGGCTTCTGGTCGCTGTACGTGTTCCTGCCCGGGCGAGGCATCTTCGCTGGGGGACCCGCCGAGATCTGCGGAGGGGCGAGCGGGGTAAGGCAGGGGGCAGGCGGGCTACGCTTTAAAGCTGGCCTGGGTGTGTGTGCGCGAGGGGGGGAGGGGAAGGGCAGGCGTGTGAGGCACTAATAAGAGACAGATCGGAGTGGATCCCCCAGGGGTACAAACACCCAAACCCCTCCAGCCCCACGGGGGGAAGCGATATACCCCTCTCCCGAGCTAGCCACCGCGCTCAGCCGCTAAGTTACTTCAGCTGTTTCTCTGCCGGCTGGGGACCCCTTGCAGCAGGGCAGAGAAGGGGCTGGGGACCCCCCTGGAGCTGGGCAGAGAAGGGGCTGGGAGGGGACCCTCCCCGCCAGCAATGCCCACCTTAAAGTTGCTGGAAGTTGACAGTCCGCATCCGGGATGCAGCTGGGAGTCTGGTCTCCTTTTCCGATCTCTCCCGGTTCTCACGCTCCCTTTCCGGCCGCTCCGCTTAGTTTTAGTCCTGAGGAAGCAGGGAGCTGGCTGGTCTGTGGGAATCCTCTCGCTCCCCTCCCTTCTCCTCGGAAGGCGGAATCAGGGATTGGGTTGTTTCACCCCCAGTGGCAGCTGGAACGGAGCAGGGGCTCGCTTGCTTCTCTGCAGCCGAGATGAGCTAAGTACTTGCCTCCATGTCCTTCCTCTAACCATCTGATAGTTTTATGTGGTGACATGAGCAGAAAAGACCCCTGTAGAGGCGCTTCATTAATGTGCCACTTCTTTGCTATCATATGACAATCGCCTTGGGAGGAGGGAGAGGGGGAGGAGGGTGGGCTGAAAGAAAGGCATAATCTGGTTTCATTTACACCTATTTACATGGACACCTTGGGCCAATAGGAATCATTTCCATTTGAAGACAAGGCGAGGGGTGAAAAGGCTCAGCAACCGGAATTGAAGTGTGATGGCACCCAGTAACAGTGTGCGTGCGAAGGTATGCACTAACCTTTCTGTGGACTTTGCCAGGGAGCTTAGTCTGCAATTCACACTTACAAATGGAGCTGCTGAGCAGTGGGATGTTTGACATGGAAATTGCTTGGCTGGGGTATTCTGTTTGTTCTGCATTGTTATCTGATTTGTATTGTTGGCTAACTCAAGGCAAGGCTTTTTCCTCTAACGAGAGACTTTCTCTTTGCCAAATCAAACGGAGCCCAAGCCTGGTTTCCAAAGGGTTAGGCTGATGAAAATACAGTGTTGGGGTCCTACGTAACAAACATGTCGAAGTTTTCATTACTTTGTGAGCTACTTCCCCTGAAATTTAGAAATGAGTTGTCTTGTTATCACCAACGTTTTGGTCTTAACAAACTTGTGGTCATACTGAAAAGAAAACACCATGGGTTATTTTAGATATTGGAGAGTCTGATTTATGTAAATTGCCTCTCAGTTGGATTTCAGACCTGTGGCAATTTTACTGGATCCCAGGCGATACAAGTAACAGCTGTGACTGTAAAAACAATGTTTAATCATAGTTCCTGTTCTAACCAGGCAAACATCAGATTATACCTTCACACTAATGTATGCAGTACTGTTTAAGAACTGGATTATTTATCCCATCTACCTTGTTAACATGTTAAATAAGGTTTAATCTCCAAGCTAGCACAACTCGAAGTGGTCTGTAATGAAAAAGTGCATTTAGAGATAAATAATGTGCTGATGTCTGTGTGCATTGTGCATGTATATGTTTATACACACAAGCGTATGTGGATGTATATATTCACACACACACACAATGTGTTGTGCAAATCTTAATAACTCCGTTACAGTATGTTGCATGAGCCCTTCTATTGAGGGCCCGATCCTGGAAACTTTACTCAGATATGCCGTTGCATTGAAGTCCACGGGCGAACTCAGGAGATTAATGCTGCAGGTTCAGGCCCAAAAGAACGTCTAGGCGCCTGTCATATGTTAAGGAAGTTGCCTATAATGTATGTCACCTCCGAGCAATGATAAAAGATGGACCCAGGAGGTGCGAACCATGGGCTATGTGAGAAAGATCCTTTGTGGTATAAAACACACACACACACACACACACACACACACACAGTTCGGCGCTGGTTAATAACTCACCAAAACATAACTTAAACACGAGGAATTTAGGAGATTAAATAATGTCATTAATATTGAAATGGTTGCGGAGTCTGAGCGCGCCCGCTTGAGATGCAAGCGCACGTTTTTCAATATTAACAGAAGTACTTGAAGAGAAGAAAATGGTCACCTTCTTAATTCAGCAAAAATAAGTGAGGGGGGAGGGGGAAGCGCCTGCTGTCCGTCTGTCTGCACGCTGCGATGTGCTGAGAGATGCTCTTTACTACAGGTTTCAGAGTAGCAGCCGTGTTAGTCTGTATCAGCAAAAAGAAAAGGAGGACTTGTGGCGCCTTAGAGACTCAAATAAATTTGTTAGTCTCTAAGGTGCCACAAGTCCTCCTTTTCTCTTTGCTACATGGGAATGACTAATCCTGAGTCCGGAGGAAAGTTACCGCCGAGCAAGCATCCCTGAATACTTGCAAGAGTGGTTGAACGCTCATTTTATGCTACAACTGGACGCAAAGTGTTTTAAGTTTGTACTCCCCCAGTTCCAATCGGGCTGGACGAGTTCCCTTCTCTTGGGGCTGGAAGCCGACGTCATAATGTAAAACTAGCTGTATTTCTAGGGGTCCAAGGAGTGTAATATGTCGTTACTTTAAAAAAGAAAAAAAAAGCCAGCTGTCATATCCCTCCCTACAGAAGACTCTGTGGGGAACTCTGGGACGGGCTGTTCAGAGTCAATATTCTTAATGTTCTCAACACTTAACCCGTCTTTTTTCAGTAACAAACTATGAGCTCTTCAATGGCTCCTTTAAATTGTTTTGGGAGAGGGTGTGTGTGTGGGGGGGGGGGAGGGACTCCCAAGCGCCAAACTTTTTTTTTGGAGTGGGAGGAGATGTAATGATGAATGTTCGGTAGAGCTTGGGAGAAACTGCCCTGTGAAATGAGCCAAAACTCCTCCTCTAGCCCCTTGGGACAACCACGGAGAATTCCTGTCTTCCCCCTCCCCCTCCCCCCCCCCCCCAGTTTCCAAAACCATTTTTTTTTATTCTTCTTATTACAATCCACGGTTTGGTTTTGTCCCAGAGGGACACTCTGTCAAAATCATTACTCCGAGGAAACGTCGGACTCCTTATAAACACGAATCCAAAGGGAGACAAATATTTTTGCCCAATCCCCTTTTTTCAATAAACCTATAAAGATCCAGAAAAATCGACCTCTGCTATCACGTGTTGCTCCGAGTACAAATGATGTATGTTTTTGAGTGGCCCGATTTTTTGAAGGGTAAAGGGCTCTCGCAGGAAAAGAGGTAAGGGGTAGGCGAGTGATCTCCTTAACTAATACAGAAGTTTTGTCCCAGGTTCAGTGTCAAACAAATGCTAGACTTGGAAGAGACGCCCGCGCCCCCCCAAAATGAAGGATTTAAGTGTAATTTACAGGGTGTGCGTTTCTCGTTTAAAACCAACATTAGGGAAGGGGGAGGAGGGCGAGAGAGGCTGCTTGCAAAGTGAATCAATGCCCATTGTGCGGAAAACCAAAACAAACAGACGCTTTTTTGAAGCCTAATTCAAATAAGGAGCGGAGGGGAAGTGTTGGGAAAACTGTATAAAATACACATAAGTCAATTATATCAATGTGCAAACCCAATGGAAATCTATTTCGTGCAATAGCCATTCAGTGTTTCCATGAAGCCCACCCTAGACCACCTTTCTGCATGGAAGGTTCGCAATAGCCTCCTTTCCCACAAGCAGGACCACACACGTTTCCCGATTTGGTAATAATTTATGCTAATTTCCCCCCATAAATCCACAATTCGCTTCAGTGGCAAGCGGGGCTGTTGAGAGAGAAAAAGGAGACAGAAAAGTGACAAATACAATATTGATTTTGAAACCTTCTGTTTGCAGGCAGGTGTGTTGGTTGCAGAGAAAGGGTAGGGGAAGCGAAGAACTTTTCCTAGAATAAAAAAGAAAAAGGTCTACACTGTGAGAGAAGAGCTCACACAACCTTGTTAATATTTACAAAACAGTGGGGACAAGAAGGGCTGGGGGAAGAAAAGTACCGGCTTCTTAGGGTTTCCTAGGTTGCTAAACACAATCCCAGGCTCTAAACAAGCTTCCCCCGTTTGGAAAGTCAACTCCAGGCTGATGGTTGTACATGCATTTTAGCTAAGCCTCGCGCAGTTTGTTTTTTTGTAAGTTGTGTCTCTCTTTGCTTACTGGGGGCTGGGACGGGAGGGGTGGGAAGAGGAAGCTCATGGATTTCGGTTTAGCTGTTTGTTTTAATTCCAGATTTGGAGTTTACCAAAGCGATCTTGCTGCCTCTGGGAACTGGGGCGCTACGTGCAGCGGGGGCTTTGTCCCACCAGACATTCCTGACCAATTCTGCCACTTTGGTGGCGTAGAACTACTTAGTTTCCTTTCAAAAAGATTTCGTTCCCTTCCTATTCAGCACTAAACAAACTCCCCCTGCCTGTCAACGGCGAATTAAAAATTGTTCTTGTGAATGTCCTATAATCTATATTTGCAATAATAAAATAGCGGTTTAGGCTTTGCAGTGTAAACGGTGCCAGGGCTCAGCTGAGGCAAGCATTTGCTCTCTTAGTCTCCCGTCCTTTCCAAGTGTATTTTAATTAGCTGAACAATGCGACAGGCAAAGCCTCGTGTACCGGCTTTAGTGGAATCCTCTTACACCTACAGGCTACCTTTTCCAGTGTTTGCAAGTTCCTGAGCAAAGCCACTCAAACAGGTTCCCACAGTCAAAGGTAAAAGGCCTGTTCCTCAACCATTTTATTCGTGCCAGCAGTAGCGATTACTCCTATGAGTAGTTTTCAGAGGAACAGCCGTGTTAGTCTGTATTCGCAAAAAGAAAAGGAGTACTTGTGGCACCTTCTGTGTGTATATAAAGTCTGCTGCAGTTTCCACGGTATACATCTGATGAAGTGAGCTGTAGCTCACGAAAGCTCATGCTCAAATAAATTGGTTAGTCTCTAAGGTGCCACAAGTACTCCTTTTCTTCCTATGAGTAGGAACCGCAGGTCCCGGTCCCCCCCCCCCCGGCATAAAATGTCAGTAAGAAATACAAATGATGGGCCCGATCCTCCCGCCGTTGAAGCCAGCACCGCCCCGGCCATTGATTTCAATGGCCGCAGGATCTGGCTCTGTCTACAAAGACAGTGAAGGGCCCATTATGCACTTTCTGAACTCTCTGCTTTAAAGCTTCAGTTGCTAACAATGTCCATTGCACAGGTTTCTGCCCAGCCGAGAGTTTTGTTTGTTTGTTTTGGAGTTTTTGTGTGTGTGGCCTTTTGATGGTAATTTAAAGCACAGTGCTGGGGAGGAAAATGTACCAAGACCTAAGTGTCAACTTTGTCAAAAATAAAAGGCCTTTCCAGGCTACATCGGAATCCCACCGGTAAAGAATCTTTCGTGCTGCATTTTGTTCACCTCATACTAACCACTGGGCTCTTCCGCTTACTTCCCTGGGAACATGTGTAGCAAGTGCTCATACACCTCGGAAGGAGGTGGGAAGTAGTCGATAATTGATCTATGATTTAAAGCTATCAGCAGGGCGGTGCCCTGTGAGTGGTGACAACGTTCAAACAGCTTTGCCAGGCTCGTCTGGAACCACGCATCTCAAAGACAGACCAAGTTAAATGCTAAGGAGTGAGTGAAGTCCACTTGCGCTGCGTGAGTGCACAG